AGATGTTAATTTATGATCAGCTATGTGAAGATCCAGGTCTGGAAGCATTCTCTTACCATAATAAATTTGCATGGCTTGACACTTGGAGGGATTAAGTTTCAATTTATTGGTCAATGACCACTCTTGAAAAGAATTTAGTCCCTTCTGAATCAAACTTGGTTGGCTTAAAATTCTCCTCTCTCCAAGCATTAGGTCATCGACATACTTCCAAGCCTGGATCCCAGAATTAGGTCCTAAAATATCATCTGTAAGGGCACTATTAATTACACACAAAAAAATTATGGGCACAAGGATTGTACCTTGAGGGACTCCACCAGTAAAGGTTTCCCATTCAGAAAGTTTGTTCTTGTACTTAACCCTTTGATTTCTAGCCGAAAGGAAAGCCACGACCCATTGCAAGATAGAAGGGGAAACGTCCATTTCTTTGAGACAATTAAATGCAATTCTATAATCAATAAGGTCAAAAGCCTTTGTAAAATCTGTTAGAGCTAGTGTACTAATTGATTTAGGAATCTCAGCATTTGAAATTAGTTTATTGTACACCTTTATCAGGCAATGAGTGGTGGATATTCCTTTCTGAATACCAAATTGGCGCTTATCAATATGCGGTTTTATAGATTGGATAATGAAATGGGAAACCCTTCTCTCAGCAATCTTAGCTAAAGTGGGCGTTAGCGAGATAGGCCAAAGTTTATTGATCATCGGAGAATTCTGTTTTGGAAGCTGGACAATGTTAGCATTTTTCCATTGTATTGGAACAATACCCTATTGTAAAGATGCATTGATTATATTGGTAATCGGAAAGCTAAGTTCATAGGCACACTCCTTGGTATATTATCAGGTCCTCCCACCTTTGAAACACGAATCCTCCCAAGATCATGATATATTTCACAAGGTTGGAAACTTGGGGGTGGCACAGGGCTTGGAAGATATGATGGTAATTCTTGCAGATTGATTGGTTCTTGCTGCTGAGAGTTGGCTGCAAGATGTTTATTAATACAGTTTGCAACTGTCATATAATCATCCAGGTTTACACCTGGGACCTGGATAGTAGGATCATTTTTTCCCATATTAGCAAGGAATTTCTCCTGCCTGTGCCACTCACCAAGATCTGTTTTCTGTAAGTATCTAACTCTATTTTCATTAAATGCTTTTTTTGCATTTCAGTATCTCCTTAATATTTCTAAGTTTTCTTCTTAGTTTTTCATCTCCTTTCTTATAGGCTTTTTTGAGTGATTAAGTTTTGTACTTTACTAGTCATCCATGGTTTAGAATCTTTATGTGTTTTTATTTTTTATGAGGGAAAAACTTATTAATATTATAATTCATGGCTTCATTAAAAGCATCAGTCTTAGCCTGGACATTTGAGGTATTAAGAACATTATCCCAACTTTCTGATTGGACCCACTTTCCGAACAGATTAATTTTAGATTCAGGCATACTTTGAAAGGTTTTAACTACTATACGATTGTTAGGTTTCCTAATTTTGGGGTTAACAACAATTAAAGCGTGGTCGCTACGACCTATAGGAGACAATAACTTTGGTTTATAAAACAATTCAGGAACATTAGTTAGACAAAGATCTAAGATTGCATCACCCCGAGTGGGCAAGTGAATAATTTGTTTGAGACCATCTAGACACAAAGGTTCAATGTTCGTTCTGTTGAAGTCTCCAAATAACATGATTGCGGCTTGTGGTTTATATGTCCTAATATAATCAATTCCCAACATTAGATGTTCAATAAGCAACTCGCGTTGGTTAACTTCAGTAATGTATATACCTGCAAGACATTGTAAGGTGCTGATCTTGGAAACTTTGGATGTGTTATCAGAAGCCAAATTACTTCCAACTCGGGTGGCACATTGACATTTTGTCAATGACAATGGCTTTTAGTTGGTGTTTGACATATATCAACACACCGCCGCCTTTCTTGTGCTGCCTACATTTATTAAAGGTGTAGAATGAGTCTAATTCATATTGTTCAGGAGCTGTAGATGGCGCCACCCATGATTCAGTGATAACAATTAAATCAGATTTTTCCCTAGCTCCAGCATTTTCCAATTCGTCAAGTTTTTTATTAATTGATCTTGCATTGGTATACAGAAAAGTTGGTAAAAATGATGGATTACTTTTCCTTGGTTGATCATTACTTGAATTCCTCTTTATATTAAGTGTTCTAAGTGTTCTAACTTGGGGTCTAACAAAGCCAGATTTATGATGCCTAGTTTTACCTTGTCTAATCGTTATTCTTGATGATGTTGGTCTACGTAGTTTTCTTCCACTGCGTTTCCCTCTAGGTTATGGTATTAAATTCAGAATAATGACGTATTTAAGGTGGCTGCATTCTCAATGCAATGCAGTTAGCCCTGAGCAGCTTAGCTCAGTCGGCTAATCTGGTGGTAGCCGCTGTGTGTGCACTGAACCGTGGAGATCTCTAGGTCCCCGGTTCAATTCCCATCACTGCCTCTCCTTGTGTTTCAGCTAGAGGGCTGAAATACAAGTTACAATAGCGCACATTTTTTTGGATGAGATGTTTAAGCCGTTGGTCCTGTGTGCATTATGGCCCATGTGCACGTTAAAGAACGCAGTACCCTCTTCGGAAAAGAGTAGGGGATTGTCTCCTGGTGTACTGCCCAATCACCAACAGAAGGACCCCACTGGAAATAAGTCTTCTTCTAGAATTTTCGTGGGCTATTCTTGGTGTTTACACCGAATAAATCCAATCCAATCCAAAGTCTGCAGTGCCAATGGTCTGTGCAATACAGCATGCCCTCGGGCACTGCGTCCAAAATAGTGTACTGTCCATGGTCGATACTGTATAACTTAAACATGAATATATGATGGATGGTGGGGTCTACACTTAAGGGAGTACTGTACTTAAGAAGTGATTATGATTTTTTAAATATATTTAATCATTACTTTATTTCAGATTTTAATAAATGAGTTTTTTTGTTGTTGATTTAAACTTTAAGTGCGTGCCTGATTAATTTTTTTTAAATTTTGCACAAATTTTCTTATATCAGAATTTCTGTAGTTGTGATGGTTGGAATCAGCATCTTACTCATTCCTGTTGTGGCATCATCAAGCAATGGAGAATTATTTTACTACATACAAAAAATATCAATATACATCCAGCCTCCATTAACGGTTATATTCTGCCTAGGTATCTTCTGGGAGCGGGCATCTGAAACGGTAAGTCTTAACTAAACATCTAATGACATCACTGACTTGAACTTTTTTTCAAATTCCATGTGAAAATAGTTCATTTACACTAGTTTTTTTATGTGCCATACCTTCCATATAAAACATGATCATAATAGTGTTGATTAATTGATTGATAGATTTGAAATATTCTCAATCAATTATAATCATAAATCTGTGAATACACTATGTGTAAAAATATGGTTTTTGAGGTAAAAACCACTGGCGATTGAGATTGCTCTGACCATCATTAGGAGAATTAATTTTTATGACTTTGTTATTGATGGATTTGATTGACTATTAAACTTTGTTGTATAGGGGGCATTCTATGCGCTTATAGCCAGCAACACTATTTCTGTAATTCGTGTGGTCCTAGAGCTGGTGTACCCTGAGCCAGCTTGTGGTGAACCAGACACTCGGCCTGAGATAGTTGAGATCCACTACTTCTACATTGGAGCCATTGTACTGGTGGTGGCGTTACTGGTGCAGGTTGGGCTGAGTTTTTTTACAACACCAATGAACAAAGATAAAGTAAGGTTTCAATTTGAAAAATATATATAGTTATATAAGGTGATAATTAAACCAAACTGCAGAGACACTGTAGCAAAGCCCAAATAATTTTTTTTTTAATACATAATTTCTTGTCGTTACAGAGAACTGTGATTGCGCAGTCTAATGTCATGAGGTGTACATCTCTTTTTTTTTTTTGCACAATGTGTGACCTTAATTACACTGTGTAAACAATCAATGACAGTTAAGTGATAAAGTTCTATTACCAACATGCAAGGTCACTGAAAGTAGTACCTGTTCCACTGTAAAGCAGCCTTCAAGTGTTTAATGGCTCATAAGTCTTCATTAACATGTCAAACACTAGTTAGACTTCACAAGACCAGTGGGGTATAGAACTGTAAAGGACTTGTACACTGAATGTGGAATTTAAAAAAACTTGCTAGGTGTATAGATGTTACTGATGGAAAGATGATGTCACAGAGACCTGTAACCAGGGGGTTTCGGGGGTCCGGCTGAACCCCATTTTGACTAGTTTACTACTGTAGTAGTAATTTATCATTTAATTTATCATTAAAGAAAAACTTGTGAGTTAAATTTTGGTTTAAATGTCGGTACCAGTCTGAACGGATCGTCAATAAAAACGAGCCGGTGTGCGCGCGTTGTCGCTTTGCATTCTTCATAGAATCGCGTCGGCGGACGACCGCCATGCGCAATGAGTGCCTGGCTTAACATAATGGAATAAATTTGTCACCTGATTGAAATTATGCCACTTATTTAAATATAACACTGATACCTCATATAACTGACAATATTTAATATTTTGATGTTTCTCATTGAATACAAGGACCACTCCAAGATTATATACTTAAGCAGTATTCTTTTTTCTTACTTAAGTTACACAGACTGACATGGTGGACCAGATATGATGACCCAAGTAGGAGTGATATATCACCTCTGATGGACAATCAAGATACAGAGATTGTAAGCTATGGGTTAAGCATTATATCCAGTACTGAGTCTGAAGAAATAAGTACGCAGATGACACCTGAATTAGGTATTAACTTTACACCTGTCACTGCTTTATGCTATGTTCTTAATTAACTGTCCCCTACACCAGTTTTGGGATCCTTTGGTGAATTTGTATTTAATCCACCACTCACCTTTAACAAATTCTTTCAAATACACATTTTTTACACAATAAAATAAATTGCAAAAGAACCAAAGTCATACAATTAATAATGGTAAAACCCTTTGATTTTTTAAATATTAGAAATGACATACACACATCTTGTTGATTAGTAGATTACTATTCTGGCAATGATCAATATTTTATTGCACTTGTATATATGGACTTTTATCCCATGAAATGTTGGTTTTGTTCTGTATCTGTATTCTTTTTGTAACTAATTGGGGCATGCCATCCCAAAACCAGCATCTATGGAAAAAATAACAGAATTGACATTTTAATATATTTCAATGTATTAATTCAATTTCAATATATTAATATTCAGATATTTCATGGAATAAACAATTGTAAGCTTTAAAATGATGAGTCGTACTGGAATTGACTTAGTATTGCTAAAGTTAGACGAGACCTTTTTTTATACCTTGTATACTCACCTATAATGATGATTTCAAATAAAAAATAACATTTTATTTGGCCAGGTAGCACACCCACTGCCACAAAAAAAAATTAAATTTCAAAAAAAAAAAAAAAAAAAAAAAATTAAATTTAAAAAAAAAAAAAAAAAAAATTTGAATAGCTGCCGCTGCTAAGATATAAATTTAGAGCATTTAACCATCCCATTACTACACTGTTTCCATTCACCAATAAAATTTTATTTTTATTTTCTCTTCCATTTGGATTTTTTGGCAAAACTATTTGCTAAAATAAGAAATACAATTTTTTTCCTACCCTTTTTTGTCTATTGGTTCAGGTAGGTCGGTGACCGCATTTTCTCGGTATAGGCCTACATTGTTCAATATGTCAAAGTTTTTCATAAATTACCAAACTGAAATTAAAAGTTTAGACTTACATACAGTAAGTCAATTACAGTATTTTTGGTAGGAGACTGTTGGTACTACCAACATAATTTCACAACCCACTTTCGATTTAAGTTAACACGTAAAGTAAAGGTTCTTTACATTTCCCCCTGCTCTATAACCTGTGAACTTTTGAACTTTACCCCTAAATGAAATATTGACAGTATTTATATAATGCTTTAGTGATTGCAGATCCAACTGACATGACAACTGAGGAAACTGCAAAGACAAACATATTGAGGTTTGTGAAATGGTTTTGTGGTATAACGGATGAAGTGGAAGTAGAAGAACCCAATAAAGAAACAGCCACCGATTTCCTGGATCAAGATCCGAGGCACAAACTAATCTTGAACTCTGTACTTGTCGTTCTATTAGCTGTTGGTATCTTTTTATATGCATACTATGGTTGATGAACACTGGACAGATTCTTTAGTACAACTACAGTACGACATTTTACGTAAATTTTTCGTAAATTGAAATATTTTTAAACTAGATCAGGTGTAAATACCTAGGAGTAACTATCCCTGCTAGTGAGCGCCGATATGCTAACAGAGGCCAGGCCTAGCATGAACCGACAGTGCTGCAGCTAACAAAATATTATTTTAACTCTTATTCAAACATCTGTATGTTTTATGGACCTTTCTATCGTGTTCTTCCAGTTGTTGTTAAATTTCCAAATTGTGTTTTTTACATGCATTTCGCAATATTTGACATTCGCTATGTCAATAAGTTATGTGCTGACCCCCAACACTCTTGTTCGATCGTCATCATAAATATGTGCGCTCAATCCGACAATACTTGTGTTCGTTGTTCTGGTTAGGTTTATTACATTATTATAGTGATTATTATAATAGAAATGGAAGAAAAGATCAAACTATTAATAAATAACACCACAAACTTGATTTTATAAAGAAAAAATACATTATCACTTTGTAAAATGTGCGCAGTCAGACATTTTTTACAGTAATATTTGATCAATGATGTCGTCATCAGGGGCAAAAATCATTCCTAAAATCGAAAAATCAACATTCGTAAAATGGACGTTTTACTGTACTTGCTTGTAGGCTTACCAACTTATAGTGGAGAGGAGCAGCTGTGGTCTAAAGCACAGAGGCCTGTTGGCATACTGCACTCAAAAACTGGCATGTTTTTATTAATATTTTAGAGTATACCTGTATAGTAGTGGGCCAAGGCTAACTATTTTATCATATATTTAGCCAACCTAAAACTCTGTCCTCACTATAACATTTTATGTGACAAATTTATGCAGAGTTCTCAAGTACTACGGAACTTCCGTAGTTAGTATGGAAATTTTGCCTAATTACGGATGTACGGAAATATACAAAAATACTATGGAAATTTATCATAGACCTAGACTTTTACATCAGGACAGTTACATTGCCCTTAGACAACTCGTACTCAGATTATTGATGAACTATGTGAAAAATTAGAAAAGTGGCCTGTAAATCATATCCTGTTCCTTTTTTTAAAAATTCCACACCTGTTATAATACTGTACCTGTGACCTCTGAATACCGGATTCTTTTGTAGTGCAAACCCTTGAATACCGGATTCTTTTGTAGTGCAAACCCTTGAATACCGGATTCTTTTGTAGTGCAAACCCTTGAATACCGGATTCTTTTGTAGTGCAAACCCTTGAATACCGGATTCTTTTGCAGTGCAGTGTAACAAAGTTTTTTGCGTTTTTTGAGTATACTTCGTTCTAGTGGATTTTTGGGAACTTTCTGTATAGAATAAGCTTTCATTTGATGTATATTTTATATTTTTAGAATTTTTTTTTCATAATATAATATATATAATATAATAGAAATGACAGAAAAATGCTACATATAAATCATCAGCAAAAACCAAAAAAAAAAAAAAATTATAGCCAAAAAACAAATAAAAACAAATATAAAACATTCCTATTCCACACAGTTATATAATTTATTTACCCAACCATCCATAACTATAAGCACGATCTTTCCATTCAAAAGCATCGACCACCCTCACATTTCTAGGCCTATGCTCATCTTCATCAAGAACATCTCCGCCGTCAGAACTGCTTGAAGCCCCACTGTCATCATCGCTATCAGGCACGTCTAAGTCTCGCACATCTAAAAACTCACCTTCATCGCTGTCTGAATCAAAAATCAGGTCAATCGCTTCCTCAGCTGTGTACACATCTTGTGCGGCCATTTCGAAAAATTTTTGAAATTAATGATTTCAAATTGATATTTCTAAACATTTTTATATAAGCGCATGTGAGTTCTTCACAGATTTCGAAAGAAAAAAGCTTCACGCATGCATGTTCAAAATTTCTGACGTATTGGAGCTAAAATAAAAACAGGAGCGATTTGAAAACCACCTATTTTTTAGTCACTAAATTTCGACTGCAGTCGAAAATGGGAATTCTCGGTTTGAGGTCAATTTCGACTACAGACGAAGACGGTATCTAGAGGGTTAAGCAACCATATTTTGCACTCAAATTATTAGGTGTTACACTGCAATGCATTTTACTAACTTGAGAAGTCTGTTAACCTCCTTGGTTTATGTGACGTGCCAACATATACTCTAGTCGTAATGTCATATTACACCCATATATGGGCATATCACATTTGTTTGTCACATATAAGATAGTATGGACAGAGCTTAAGCTATTCTATTTTTATATTGCATATCATATTATCATCTTTCTTGCCAAATATTGTGTATATAAATTGAGGGATATTGATAGCTGTTAAAGAAGTACCGAACTGTGATGCTGTACTATTGACGGAAGGTATAGCACTTGAATCGTCATCTTGCTGATATACCAAATTAGCTTGTGCCTTCAATACATGTGACCTATGTTTTGTCCAATTTTGAGCTTTCGGTGACTAGATATGATTTAATAACTTAGGCCAGTCAATTACAGAACTCAGGTATGTTTTTGCTATTGGATTCAGTATTCTTGATGATGCAAATAACACCTTGTTATTGTTAGAATATCATCATTTTATGTTTTAGTGATTTGGAGCACAAATTCTTACATCAGGTTCTGCATCCTTCTCCCCACCCTCCCCGTTTTAATAGCAGCATTGTTTGTAGTAAAATTAAAATTTAAAAAAAAAAATTGTCTCTTTAAAAATTCTGTAACTTTTCTTGCTACACAAGTTTCCTTTCTAAACCATTGATGCAGAAAGCAGACAATAATTTGTGAAGCAAATCATGATGAATGTCGACATAGCTGCTAAGTTGCTATTTCATGCCCCTGGCAAATACACTGAATTCAGGAGCAAGCTCGATGATGATGATGATAATGAAGTGCACACTACTACCTCTATGTACAAAAAATTGGACATCTGTTTTAGGGTTATTTTTAAAGTTCTTAGTGATTTTAATGATTAAGTGTTTTTTTTAACATTTACTTGAATTCTATTCCAATAAGAATTCATCTATATTTTGTTTTGGACATTACTGTTTTACTTACCACTATATGTTTTTCTTTTCAATGTATTTATGTGTAGGTCTATATATGTATAGTTTAAGTGGATAGTAGCCCTCGATGGCTTATGAAGCAATAAAGTGAATTGAATTGAATTGAATGTGACAAAAGACAAGGCGAATTTACTCCTTGCAAACAAATTGATTTTTTAGTTATTAATACAGGGTTAAAAGGTTATAAAATGGTAAAAGAATCATTTGTATCCAACATTTTGTTATGGAGTTACAGCTGTTTAAAGAACAATATTTGAGACACTTCTTAATCAGAGACAAATCACCAAATCGTTAAAAAAGGTAGTTGAAAAGAGTGAAAATTGGGGAAATAAGAGCATAGCATGATGTATAGATATACAGTATAAAGTTTAGTGCAATAAAATAGACTTCAAATATTTTGACATTGCAGCATGTTTTGGTAATTATCTCCAAAACGCAATTTGCAAGAAGCGACGGATTTGGCTTGTCTTCGCCACATGCGTAAATAAAAAACAGTTGTGACATTACTCTCTTACTCATTTACATCGTTTATTTCCACCTGCTATATTATGTGTACAATAAGGGGAAGCTTTAATTTACCACTCTGCTATTTTGAGCTTTGTAAAAAGACAAATACAGCTTGTGTGTATATTACTACAGTAGTTGCTCGGACTCGCTGTTATAGGCTTTATGTTTGTGATGCATGTCCTTTACTATATTTTATCTTGCCCATTACTCGTTGGCTGCGTGAATGCGTCGTCATCTTGCTTTCATGTTTTCTCTGCATTTGCAAATTTGATTTCTCTTAATAACTGTTCATTTTAATTAATGAAATTTCTTATACTAAGATTTTTATATTTTGTCTGAATGTTATTACTTATTAGTGGTAATGTAAAATATGACTACTGTTTAAACACAGATGTGACAAATACCGTGCATTGGTTTATAATCATTATTTTGTTTTTTCTTTACCCTCGATAACATTGTCAGCGTAAAAGCATTATACTCAATTGTAATGTATTTATTTAGAAACTTTGTGTGATGATATTTCCATAAAAATCCAATTAGATATTAGTAATTACTATATAATAATCGATATGTATATATTTCAGTATAAGTACCATATGTGAAGGAATGTATAATTTCCAGTTCAATATATTTATATGTGATAATATTATATGTGATAACATTATAATAAGATATTCAGTCCAGATCGTCTTTCATAAAATATATATTTCTGAAATTTAAAAATATATATACACTGGCAAAACAATTTTGGTGGTTGACTATCCACCTTAATTTGATGATTGTTCAATTTCATTATTTTATTTTCATTTTACTGTTAATCATGAAATTCAATAAAATTAAGAAGCGATAAAAAAGGAACTTGATTTGTTGGCAGTTTATTGTTCAGCAGTAGGTCACACTACTAGCCTGCATGTCTGCTTCATTCACTACACATCTTTATAGAAATAAGGATACTACAACAAAAGTTCACCTCTTATTCCATTTCATAGTGCTGGATAAAGATTAATGAATGAATACCCACAAAACAAGTTTTCTTGGCTTTCTTCTTTATACATGCACCATTCATTTTGATTCACTACCTATACTTAGCTCTGATTACATTCGGTAACATTATCACTTCTGATTGTAATTCTTAAAACATCTATTCATAGGATTGTCGGGTGACTTCTGCCATTGTTTTTTAAGCATCTGCTTTAATTGTGATAAGCGCAAGTTTGGATTTTCAGCTTTGAGTATTGGTAAGTTTTCTTCTTCAAAGGCTGTGTAAGCTGCCTTCATTCTTTTCTCTGGGTGTTTCTCAACATCCGGTTGACTGACGCTGTCAAACAATCATAAAAACATTTATGTCAGAGGTTAGAGATTCTTCTTCTCAACATTGTTTATAGCAATTTGGAAGTTAAAAACAGGTAAATTGAGATAGGTTGTAAGGCCAAGTAAAAATAAATGCAAGAAACTTGTTGCATTTTAAATGCTTCATGAGGTTATATGGAGAGGAAAGCTCAGAACTGAGAGTGCCTTAAAATATGTTAACTAGAAAGATGGTAAAGGTAAGAGAATAGCCCATAACTTGCAGCGTCATTGTGCTGAATTGCATATGGGCGTGGTCCGTGACTACCTAGCAGCCGTAAAGAGGTGCTTATATATCTACATGTTCACATCATTCCACAAGGACAGGGACTGAAATAAACCATAACATTGGGGTAACCCCCTACTCTTCCGAAAGATGCACTGGGTTCAAGACAGATGTATACACTCGACCTCCACTTGAAGTCCTTATCCGAGAAGACTTGGTTCTACTAACCGAACCATGGGCGAGGAGCGGCTGGAAGCAGTGCCGATGTTAAGGCTGTAGCTAGCGGCGCTCCTGCCTTACCACTCGACTTGCCCTACAGTAATTTCATTTCAACTTAATGGTTGAGACTTTTTATAAAAAATATTACATGGACTCATCTTACAAATGATTGAAGTTGGTAGGGTAGACATACATTCCTAAATGGAGGATATGCATTTCACAACTCTATATTCAAAATAGCGCACTGGTAAATATCATGATGTTATTTACCATTGTGTCAGTAGACCGAATCGGCGGCTCGGGTCACGTGACTTATAGTGGGTATTAGGGTTTGTTTACATCTATCGAGATCACGAGACGCCAGCACATTGAATATGGCTTCGCCTTGTTGATGTAAGTCACATCATAGATGTTGCAAATGTTGGTTGGAATGTTATAATTTGGTAAATCACTTAGAAGTGTCCCAAAATTAAATTTTCAAATACTTTAGTTTAGTTAGGTAAGGCTCCAATGGATAGTGGGAATAAAGCCTGGAAGTTTGTTGCCGGCTGAGGTACTTTTTAGGCCTAGGCCTAAGTCAAGAATATTATTCATGGCAAATGCTTTCGCAGAAAAAAAAAAAACCTCCCCATTCATTGCAAGAGTATTATTTTAGTTATTTTAAATCCAAAATTAAATTGTAAGATGTTTGTAGTTACTGCCAAGGATAATTATCATCATATGACATAACAAATATTATAACAAATAATAATATACCAAATAGGCCTATTATCACCAGCCTGTTTCCTAGACCAAGTTTGGTTGAGCAATCAGTACCGTTAAGGGTTATCTCATACTTTATTTCCTACTCGACTACAGAGATATATATAGTCGAGGCATAACAACTCCTTCCCTACACCGGGCCCTGGTCAAGGTACGGTACCTTCACGACGTGGAGTCGTCGCTGGCTGAGGTACTTTTTAGGCCTAGGTCTAATCCAAGAATATTATTCATGGCAAATGCTATTGCAGCATATAAAAAAAATGAATCTCCCCATTTGTTGCAAGAGCATTATTTTACAGTTATCTTAAATACAAAATTAAATCATAGGATGTTTGTAGCTACTGCTGAGAATAATGATCATCATATGACATATTATTATTACGTACTGGCATTAGGATGTAACATACCAACCAGGCCTATTGTCACCAGACTGTTTCACAACTTTGGTTGAGCAATCAGTACCGTTAAAGGTTATTTTCTACTTTATTACCTACAGTACTCGACTACAGAGATATATATAGTAGTCGAGGCATAACAACTCCCTCCCTGCTCCAGGCCCTGGTCGAGGCTTACACTCATGCAGCCTAGTAGTAGGCCTATACATATGTAGCCTACCATACACTAGCAGCATTCCAGAGGCTAAATATAATGCACAGAGATTGCCAAAGTAATTATAAATAGCTATTTAAAAAAAACAAAGGCCTGCTGCCTTACTTTACTTTGGGTCACTGTCTAAAAAACATAACTCTCTCAATATAATGCGTTCAATGAGCGCACTGTGGTTTACGATGTTGATGTTTACATTTAGTACCCACTATATGTCACATGACCAGTAATAGCTGGAGTCGCCGATTTGGTCTATTACAGTATAGAGTTGTGAAATGGTAAAAACCCAGTAAATGAACTGGAAGTAGACTTGAACAAGCTGTTCTGATCATTATACATATTACAGTCAGTGGCAAGTTAAGCGATATTGTACTGTAACTAATTGGGAGACTTTTGCTGCTCCATTATTAAATAATAAATAAAATACCATATAAAATGTAATTGATTAAAGGAATTCTGAAGGAACTTGAATATTTGTGTACATGATTGATATAAATTCATGTATGGTATTGCTTACCTGAGAACAGCAATGGCTTCTTCAACACTGCGAGCTTCAACAGCGACCTCGTCAGCCAGCTGTTGTGCAACTGCTATGTTAGGGTTTTCCTCCAGAGGCGCTTCAATATGACTTGGTGGTTTCACAGTAGCTTGAGTGTGAAAGATTTTAAAATTCAGATTTAAGAGGAATTATGAGAAAAGTATTACAACTCTTAGTTGCAACCAAGATTCTCTCTGCATTGCCTCTTTCATCTGCACCCAAATTACCCTTCCCGACACTCAGATCTGCAACTTTACTTAGAACAGCATTACTTCTCAAAACTGCACCCAGGTGCCCCTCTTTGACACTCAAATCTGCAACTGTACTTAAAGCAGTTAGCATTTCCTCTTTCAGCTGCACCCAATTTACCCTTTCTGACACCCAGATCTGCAACTGTACTAGCAGTTAGCAATACTTCTCAAAACTGCACCCGGGTGCCCATCCCTGACACTCGAACCTGCAAATGTACTTAAATCAATTAGCATTACCTCTCTAAGCTGCATCGAAGAGCCCCTCCATGACACCCAGATCTGCAACTGTACTTAGCATTACTTCCCAAAACTGCACCCAAAAGCCCTGCCCTTACTTACTCGGATCTGCAACTGTACTTAAAGTAGTTAGCATTACCTCTCTTGGCTGCACCCATGTGCCCCTACCTTATACTCAGATCTGCAACTATATTGAAAGCAGTATATCTGCATCAGTTGCACCTACAAAACCCTTTTCACTCGGATCTGTATTACCTTTTTCTGCTGCTTCTCTTTCCCGCTGAGCTTTTATATCAGCCCTTGTCATCTTAGCTGGCTTTGCTGACTTTGCCTCTAAACATGTTTCTTCTTCCTCGAGTAATTTCTGATTATCTTTTTTCCTATCCACATTTTCAAGTCTCTTTTTTTCCCTATCAGCCTTTATGTTAAGAAGAGAAAATATGAATGAATTAATTTAATTTGCACTTTATTTAATCTTTCTTTATACTGCAGACACTTTCAGTACTTGTATACTGATTTTCAAAGTGGCAATAAACAAACCATCAAAATAGAAAAGAATAAAAACAACACACACAACAAAATTTAAAAGTTAATTCAATGTTAAAGTTACAAAGTAATAGAAATTTGGAATTAAAATAATGTCATTTCTTTAACGTTAATCTGTGATTTATTTGGAAGTTCATTCCAACTTTTAGAGTAGATGCACAAATAATATATAATTGTTCTTTTGTGGTCTCATTAAAATACCATACAGTATACCAAAAAATTAAACCACCAAAATATTTTTATCAATTTAAATTGAGTGTGGAGGCATCATCTTTCTAACTTATAAACAAATAAAATACACAATAAAAAAGTGCTCCAACACATGATTGTGCAAAATTCCGTAAGTCATCAATTATATTAATATTTTTACAAGATCCATGATGGTTTTAAATTCACCTTCCTGTTGGCTTTTTTTGCTACATGTTTGTCATCATCTTTCCAGAACTCATCTTCTTTTTCCTTTTCAATTCGAGTTTTCTCTAGCAATCTTGCTTCCTCTTTCCGAGCCCTTGCTATCACAGCCTTTGAGTTTTCTCCCTTAAATTTCTTAGGCATTGTGGATCTTTATTCTTTATATTTATTTGTTTATTAGTTAAAGCAACATTGCACTATTGGGAATCTCTCAGCATATGCATAATTTATATCTATAAAGAAAAAATAGATACATGATGATTGATATTGATGTGTTTAGTAAACCAAGTTAACACTGGTCCTATATAGATTACTACATGGCCGGTCTATGTTCATTAGGCAGTGGTTACACCATATTCCCAGCAACTGTAATGAAACTCATGCACTTAAGTCAAGATAAATCAATTTTTATGAATGATATCTGTGTATTTTATGAGCAGCAAACCAGCATAAGATTATTATATAAAGTACATATTACGATTGCTACTTTTATCATCAAAATAATTAAAATTTTTTTTTCACTAGTATTTGGGAACATATTGAGTATTTGGTACAATAACACATCAGATAGGGCAAATCATCACTCATATGATATTTTTCTGATGCAAACTCACATTGAAATAGTATTTGCAGTACCTGCTGTTACTTGGGGATCAGATTCAACACTAGTTACTAAGTACAAGCTCGGTGGTCTAGTGGTTATGGCACCAGGCCTAGTTATCTGGGGGTCTTGGGTTTGATTCCCACCAGAATCACTTGCAATTTTTTTGTCACTACGCAGTAAATTTGGGTCGAGTTGACTCCTTGGGGCCGAAGTTGACTTGGGGCCGAGTTGACTCAAATTCATCATAGATTCCTAGGCCCCTAGCCTAAACTAGAATTAAGAATAAGAATTAAAAGTTAGGTTTGAAAAGCGCCCCTTCTTCTGTATCATCTCAGTCAGGCGAAGCCTATGCCTAGTGTAAAGCCATCTTCCTATAAGCCTAGGCCTTCAAAGTAGTAGTAGGCCTACCGGTTCTAGGCCTAGGACCTACTGCTCTGTACTTTGCTCACTCGGCTAGGCCTACTGCTCTGTACTCTGCTCACTCGGCTAGGCCTCATCTAGTAGCATACCACTCGAGCATAGCCTAAAGAGTAAAGGCCTAGGCCATATTTAGGCCTAGAATTTAAGACGCTAATTAATTTACTGATCCAAATTCATGCTTAAAAGAGCAATCCACGGCTAACTTATCGGCAAAAAAATACCTATCTCAACTTAGTACAAATAACCAGATGGTGTTTGCAGTAATTTATTTACAGTATCTTCTGTTATAGTTTTCTGAATGTGGCGCAATGGATGAATGGCCGTATTCGACTCGTCGTTCTTCGTTAAACCACGCCCACCTGCGCAGTGGTAAAATCCTACTTATTACGAAGACTAGTCGAATAGAAAACTGGTAAATACTCGACAAAACAAAATGGCCGTATTCGACTGGTCGTTCTTCGTTAAACCGCGCCCAACTGCGCAGTGGTAAAATCCTACTTAACGAAGGCGACCAGTCGAATAGGAAACGTGTAATACTGTATAAATTATAAGTATATAATGGCTGCTTCTTATTTATGTTTTTCGCTTTTCTTTTTCTTTTTTTTTTGACTAAATTTTGCTGTTTTTAATCTGGTTTTTAATTATTCTAGTTTTTTTTTTTCAATTTTTAACTGTTCTATACTTGTATGACTTGTGCTTGCCTTTGTGCAATATTTCATGGTTTTTATATCTTTATATAATTGTAATTAATATTTTGTACATACATTTTTTTAGCCTTTGTGCTACCAATTGTATTTTGATGTTTATACCGAAATAAATAAATAAATAAATAAAATTACCACGATACACGTTGCGTAATCAAGATTGCTTCAACTTGTGGTAGTATGGGTTTTTCGTAAAAAAAAATGTTTTCATCCAGTTTTTGAATTCTGTTAGCCTGCAATTATTGTTTGACTTCAATGTGGGTAAATATTATAATTTTTATTTTCTGAAATAGAATCTAAATTATATTAATCGGCCATATTTTTTGGTCACGTGCATAACTTAACGCTGATTAACGCATTCTGGTTACGTTAATTTTCGTTGTCAACGAAGTCTCTTCTACGAACCAGTCGAATAAAAATAATACTCAACGAAAATTTGTACTCAACGAAATGAACCAGTCGAATAAGCCCAAGGCTATGGGGCAGGATTTATCAAACTAGAAATCAGCTTAAGTTCATCTTAAGTCCATTTTTTTGCTTAGTCAAATTTATCACTATTGCCTGCAATGCTTTAACTTAAAAATTGCTTAAAATTAAGCACGCATGAAACATCTAAGAGATTTTAAGCTAAGATTTTCTAAGATGGTTTGATAAATCAGCTTTAGATATTTGCTTAGGGACTTCTAAACGTTTTTGACATAAGAAATTTGCTAAGCTGAGATTGATAAGTCCCGGGCGCGGTCCCGGGTCTGGATATGATACACGTTGGCCCTCCTCTATCGGTGATGAACTTGCATACGTGCAGATTTTTGCCGCCTTGATCGAAAACTAAAGAATCACATCAGCCATCCATTTTGTAAATAATGTGATTGTAACGCCACTGAAAATACTAAACATATCCTACTTGAATATTCAGGATTAGAAGATATTAGACTTCAAGTTTTCAGAAATATTAAAATGTCCTTATTAGGAAATTAATTATGTCATGTGTCCAGATCGCCCACCCATAGGCCAATATCACGCCAAGACTTTATAGGCCTTAGATAAAACCATGGAGGTACACCTCCATGATAAAACGCACTCTGGAACACATTAGTGTTTCAATCAATTCATGTTTCATCAAAACAAACTTTTATTCATATCCATCCACCAGTCTTGAAGGGGGTGTGTTGATGAGTTTTAACTGATTCTTTTTGGGGACCTGGGGAAAGTAATCTTTGGAGGGGCGTGTGCGCTTCCCCCCCCCCCCCCCCCCCCCCCCCCCGGTCCTGCGGTTAGCGCTAACCGACCGGACGTACTCACGCAGGAGCTAATTAGCTCCCGATCCGGATACTAGGCCCTCGACCATGTACCACCTCATTTGCATATTAGCTATCCGTGCATTATCGTATTTTAATATCATTGTATTGGATTAGTAAACTCATGATTTAATGACAATCAACAATACTGGAAAATATTTGTTAAAGGCTCAACCGACCTCAGAACACAGTAACTACTACTATACTAGGCCTAATAATAATAATAATAATAATAATAATAATAATAATAATAATAACAATAACAACAATAACAACAACAATAATAATAATAATAATAATAATAATAATAATAATAATAATAATAATAATAATAATAATAATAATAATAATAATAATAATAATAATAATAATAATAATAATAATAATAATAATAATAATAATTGTTATTGTGATGGAATAGACAATAACTGGATTTGCGTCAGGAAAATCAAGTAGGCCTATGGGTGTAATTTTGCCTACCTGACGTGGAAATGTACTAAATACATACTCAGTACGTTTTAAAACAATTGCGAAAAAAAATCGCAAGTTGTTCTTGGTGGGACTCGAACCCACGACATCCAGATCACTAGCCTGGTATCATACCTCTAGACCACCGAGCTTGCGCCTGTTGGCCGGGGTTGAATTTGTTATTGTCGTTATCTGGAGATAATCCGTTTATGGATGCATGTTTTTGGACACATGACATGACATCAAGATCCAAGATGCGGACGACAAGTAGTAGTTCCCTAGCAACACTCCCCGAATTTAAAATTGCTCTGCTGGGTTGCCTCGGTGTCGGCAAATCAGGTAAGCGAGTTCAATACACTCATGGAGGAAATATATTAATTAATATATTTCCTCCATGATACACTGTAATCAATTGATGATCTATTGCATTCAATCGAAACTTGAACGCAAGGCACGATTTGGAAGTTCTGTTAGTTCCATTATTAAGTGACGCACTGACTTTCAAATTGAATATGAAGTTTTCAGCAATAATTTATTGGGGTGGGGGGTAATAACATTCGGTTCAGTACCATTTCGGTTCAATTTTACAAATTTAGGTATTTATCTAGGCCTATAGTTGTTCTCTTAACATTTGTTTTTCTCTTTAAACATTTTATTGTACTGTCAATGTGATTTAATAAATAAAAATAAAATAAATATAGGCCTATGTACTAACTATGTCTACCCTGTGGACCCAACCCCCGGCCCGGTCCATCCCAGTGCTGGCACCGTCGAAAGGTCGGGGGGTACAGGAAACCTGACTGGACCCTCCGCCCTTTCGGCAGATTCATTATGGCTGAGGTTGTTGACTCCTATCAGAGACGGACGCTTCGGGGAAGCTGGACCCCTCTCCCGGGCCCTCTTCCATCGAGAATGTTGGTCATTAGGCTACACGATAAAAGAGAAGGAAGTTTTGATATCTTATATTGGTCGTTCATTTTTGTATTGCAGAGATAATATGAATCTTATTTTAAAATTGAAATTACAACAATTTAAGAAAAAATTGATAATTTTAACTTGGAAACACCGCTTACAAGCTAACGGTACCGGTAACGCTTAGAACAGCACTTTAGTAACCGATTAAAAAAAAAAAATGTGTAATATTATATTATAGAGTAACTGGAAAAAACGATAAAATGAATAGAGATTGTTCTTCTCTCCATTTTATTGTCAATTCTATCGTATATGTATCTTGTTTGAAGCATAACTAGGTAAGCGATATGATGACAAAAGACAAAAGTCGAGGCCACTTTCACATTACTATTGAAAACAAAAACATTCGAAACTATAATTCCTTTCTATTATGAGGCTCTAGCAGGGAGACAGTTGCAACCTCACAACGGTGAGCCACAAAGTACTGTACACCGATTTACGTCATCACCAACACGAAAGTAATGTTGTCGCATTTAGCGTTCATTAAATGTTTCCCTTCTTGCTAAATGCATTTCATACCGAAATGGAACATCTACTAAAATAGTTTCGTTCCGACATCCATTATGGATGTTTGCTAGCTAGATTCACATTGATATCCGTTTTAATGGAAGTAATTGTACATCCTATTATTGAAGGCTAATGCCATTCTTTATTGAAATCTGGTCATTTATACGAATCCTCATTGCTCTAAACCAATACCGGTAACTCTTTTTGGATTATTAATATTTTTTCGAGGTTGTTTTTATGGTAGGCCTAAGATCTTGTCGTCTCTGAGGATCGTACTAATCTGTTGCTTGTGTACGGTGATGGTTAATTGATCTGTGGTAGTCGGTCGAACTGTGGGACAAAAAAGTTTGCCTGAAGGATGCGAAAGAATGAAGAACTACCCTCATGATACTTAAACAGCCTGTTATGTATTAAACTAATGTTCGTACCATACCGATTGTAACTGTTTAATGGCTTGTATTAAACGGTTGAATTACTTACATCCAAATGAAATCAATCCAGGAAATTGCGCACGTGCGTATGGAACTCTGTTTTCTCACTATATTGACTTTCTGATTTTAAGCCAAATATTACTTAAAACAAATATTTTTTTTAATTAATTTTAGAAAATATTTCTTGAAATAAGAATTTATCAAGAAAATACTTCTTGAAATAAGAATTTATCAAGCATATTTTCTAGACTAGATTTTAAATTTTGCTGCGAAGAGTTCAGAATTACGACTCAATAAGTCAAACGATTTAGGCTACATCTAAACCATTTTGAGTAAATGTCAGTTCTTGAAAATAGCACAAAATAATGGTGGCATTATGAATATCGCTATTTGTCGGAGGACAAATGGTGTGAGTAAAATTTCATTTTTTCCGTAATTGTAGGCTATCAAGGTTAATGAAAATGATGTCAGGGAATATTTTAAATCATTGAAGTCAAGCTGCAAAAAGTGGCAGTGGCTATGTCTGGCCAAATGAGCTCAATTTATTTTATTTTATTTCAATACAAACAGCAAATGAGATTCTCCACTTACAGGAGGGTAAACAGTGTCTTCAATATGCTTCTTCAATGTTCCCTTGCAACACTCAATGTGAATAATTAATACCGATACCGCCAATTCCTCTTACGGTCTATCCAGAAATCTGTCCATAAAAGATAAAAAAAGCAATCAATCCGATTGCAACCTTGGTAGGCCTATCCTTGAAATTTGCTCACATTGATGACAAATGATACACCCAAATTATAATGTGTGTTCATTGAGTTATTTTATATTTCTTCTTCGTTCAATACAATACAATTTTTTTTTTATAAGAACACATTTTATAATAGCACTGCGGCTGAAATTGCCCAAAAATCAAGAACAAAATAAGAACAAATTAAGGCTGAGGTAAAATGTCAAATGGGGTTTTTATTTTTTGTAAATTTATAAAACCAACAAATCTTATCTGTACCATATTTGCCATAGGTGCGACTATGTAACTCACTCTATAATACAGTACAGTAATATACTTCTACAATAATAATATTCTGTGTTTGAATGTAAAAGTAAGAACAAAATAAGAACATTTAAGTCGGCAAAAAAAACATAAGAACACTGGGCCTGGGCAAAATTTTACTGGTTCTTATAAAAAATAGTGTACAACTGAATACTGTATGCTTATTATGCCAACACTTTCACTCACTTGAGGTTAGTAGGGCCTACCTTCCTTTTCTCTAAATATAAAACGTATTTCACGTGAAATTCACTCTTGTACAGTACCGTATTTATTCGAATAATATTGTTGAGGAGGGTTTTTGAGGCGGCGTTTATTCGAGGGAGGCGTTTATTTATTTTATTGAATTTGGGTGTGTGTGTGTAAAATGGATAAGTACAGTATATAAACGCCCCTTAATTTCACTGTAAATGTGGAAGTAGGCCTACAACACATAATTACCGTTAAAATGTGGTATTGCGTGATCATAGACTTATTGGTCCTAAACAGGTTTAGGATTTTTCTGTAGAAGCAAATAAATAGAATATGTTGAGAATGGTGCTGCTTCCATTATTTTTGTTTACAGGCATTTAGGAAAGCGTTGTTCGAGGAAAAAATAAACGCCGTTTATTCGAGGGAGGCATCCAAATGCGGCTCAGCTCTGCGTGCTTTGACTTGCACATGGGACTTAATTATACACAGGACCATCGGCTTGACGCCTTATTCTTAAGACTGTGCGCTATTGAAACTTGCATGTCAGTCATTGCAACAATTTAACGTTTATTTTTACTTTTGATATCTAATTACTGTATGTTCATGTGACCTATTAAATATAGACTTTATCCAGTATGACATCAGGTAGAATTGTGACGTATGGTGGATGATTGCAGAGTAAGGAAATATGAGGAAAACTGAGCAATACTAGAGAATGAGTCGTTGTAATAATTACAAAGTTTCGATTGTTTCTACCTTATGGTCCATCGATTTACCGATGATAATTAATGTAGAAGCCATGTTGAACCACTGTTTTCACTTCAGCAGAGTATAAAACCACCTCTCCAACCCTTGATTGTAGTAATAACATCGATTGCTTGTAATTTGTGCAAGCAATGTGGTTGAGGTTAACTGTTAATTATACTTAAAACAGTTTAATTAATCTTGCCTTTCTTGATAATGTCAGAGGCAAGGACTTACGCATCTTTCATCTGATACTTCAAAGGTATTGTATACATACATAATTTAATTCCACCGTGTTTATAATAATCGGGTGTGCTTCAACCGAAAGTTTAATTAGGTTCGTCGTTAAGATACACAATATCCATGATTAGGATAATGGCATTTTATTAGGTATCGTAAAAGTGGTTTATTTAAACTATAGAACAGCCACGAGTGAAAAAATGGTCTAGAATACAGGCCTGAAGTGTTCATTACTACACGAACAACATCTTATGCACATATTACACCAGTCCTCAAAGACCTTCATTGGCTTCCTGTACATCAGATAATTATCTTCAAGATTCTGCTGACTACCTATACAAGACCCTGTGTTCAAAATCTCCAGCCTACATAGATGAGCTGATTACACTTTACTCTCCTCCTAGGCAATTGAGATCTTCCACTCAAATTAAACTCACAGTTCCTAAATGTAACATTGTTAATTATGGCAACCATCATTCACGTTTTCATCTGCATATTTATGGAATTACCTTCCCTAGGACATAAAAAATTCAACTTCAGTCCCTTAAAAAACATATATTTTTGAAACATATTTTTCGCCGCTCGTTTAGCTGTTTAGCCAATCAGCAATCTTGCTCTCACATCTTACTTATTTATTTATTAATATGTAGGATAGGCTAGCTAGATATCATTTTCATTAGAGCTCCTGTGAATACTGTAGCGAGCCCCTAACTTTAGGGGCTTCAAAGTGCTGGAGAACGAAGCAATGGAAATTATTCTTCTGACATTTATGCCGTTTTCGTTATTGGTTTTCTTTGTAGTTTTAGGATATTTCATGGTTATGTTTCTCTTTTTTATGTAAAGCGCATAGGGGCAACTTTCTTGTATTATGTTCTATATAAGACTTTATTATTATTATTATTAATAATATTTTTATTATTATTATTATTATTATTATTATTATTTAAATAAAATAAACCTATTGACAACTTATCCGTTGGTCCACAGGATGGTATTTCTCATTTTTACCAGATGGCACAACATTTTTTTTTTCTTATAGTTGTACTTTTAACTGTGCACATGTGCAATTATTTTGCTCAAAACATATTAGGGCAGTCGCATGGTACTATATTTCATAGCGTACCCTATATATGTGAAAGGTGGAAAATCACCAAGTACAGTATGTCAAAGGCTGGCTGTGGGTGGAAATATTATTGTTACTA